CCGTCAAGAGGTTTCACATATTTACTTACTTCCGTTGACCGTTTCTCCCGTTGGTCAGAAGCAGTTCTACTTCCTAACTGCTCATCCGAAACGTCAGCTAAGGCATTTTTTGAGCGTTGGGTAGCAACGTACGGCTGCCCGGTGACCGTCACCACCGACAGAGTTTCGCATTTCGATGGGTCATTTAAAGCTCTCCTCACTATGTTAGGGGACAAGCACGCTCGCATAACCACGTATCATCCAGCGGCCAAAGGCCTGGTTGAGCGTTTTCATAGACAACTCAAAGCAGCCATCAAGGCTCATCCCGGTTCAGAATGGCATGAGGCTCTTCCACTTGTCCTGTTGGGCGTTCGGAATACGATAAAAGCCGACTTGCACACTAAACCGGCCACACTAGCCCTCGGTTGCACGTTACGTCTTCCAGGTGAATTCGTTTCACCCAAGCTCCACCTTAGCTTTTAATACTCGGATTTTGCACGACTCGCGCATCATATGCGTGAGGTATTAGCTGCTACCACACGGCAGCAAACAGTACCCATTTACGTACCGGAGGATCTTACGCGTTGCACGCACGTTTTTCTTCGCGTAGATAGCATCCGCATACCTCTGCAGACACCATACACCGGTCCGCATAAGATTATCATGCGTAACGACAAGTACGCCATGATAGAAGTTAACGACAAAAAGGAGTTCATTAGTTTAGACCGACTAAAACCGGCGTTTTTAGAAACTGACACCATTTCTATTACACCTACGGAAGCTGCAGATCCTTCGTCGGTAGACCCCACGCTAATTAGACCTACAGAGAACCACCCCTCAACACCAACATTGATACTGGTAAAGCACGACCGCCGCGGTCGTGAAGTCCGTAAACCGGTTCGTTTTCAGTTCTGATCTAGCACTCCCCCAAGTAGCTTTTATCCACCTTAATTGGTCTCTCATGCTTAACTTGTAACCTGTATCTCAGAAGCCATCTTTTTGCATAAAAAACAAAAAAACGGCGAACATTTTTCTCCCTCAACCATTCTGGGTATTTATGTTCGCTGTTACCGATCAGCTCCAACAAGAGCTGCCTCGAAGTTCTTTTTTCTGTTCCAGAAACACAACCCGGGGAGAAGAGAACACAAACCGACCACATGGGAGAACATAATCAACAGGAAGACTTCAATTGCCCCCCTCACCCACAACTGACCTACCGATCCAGCATCTTGAGGGTATCGAAGACCTTTTTCTGACAGCCCCGGTCAGTTTTTTACTGGCTCGTNCCGTTTAAAAAACGGGGCAAGTAGCGAAACCTAGACGGACTGCAGACATCTATTTGTTCCAATATCTGCGCATCAACCAGACTACTAGACATTTACTTCACCTACTCGATTTTCAAAAGACAATGAGACTGAACCCACACGCACATTTATCGAAGGCTCTTCTTAGCCTTCTAGGGAGGGAGCTCTGTAGTCACAGTGTCAACCATTTCCGCTCATGTACCTTTTCCATCTTCCGGACCTTGTTGTTTCACCGGACCAAGATTACCTCGTTGGTCACGGTAAGTTGACTTTCACATTCCTCACGCTTACTTACCTGTACGCTTCTCTCTCTACTCTCCAGCTCATTACAATACAACCGTCGTTGAGGTTTCGTGATATCAGTCGTTCTGTTTTGGTTCGTTATCCCGTCCTTTGTTAGACGTACAAATTCGTGGACATCATTGGCTCAGAGACTAAATATNCTAAATATAGCTTATCTACAAAAAAAGAGATGAAGAGCAGGATAGCCCTCGGGGTAACAGCGGTCTCAATCATTTGACAGGTGCCACAGCTCAGCGGACTTCTAATCCTGCCATGAGAGCTTCCCTGGTGCTGATGACAAAAAATGTTTGTGTTAATTAAGCGTAAAGGGGTGTGTTGCAAAGGATTAATGGTAGAAATAGGCAACAGCTACAAAAGGGGGTGTGTGGGTAGTGATTGAGAATTGTGCTAGTCATACTCTGGAAACACCTCGCCCCAGCAGTTGTCTAGTCTCCGTTTGAATTGCAGAACACTAGTTGCTGCTACTATTGTAGATGGGAGATTGTTACATGCGTTTACCACGCGTTGGGAGAAATATAGTGCCCTGGCACTTCCGTTGACCCGTGGCTTCAGTACGTGCCCTCTGAGGGTTGGATTGAGATTTTGCGTATACAAGGATCTATCTGCTATTGACAGTCCTTTGAGCTGTTTGAACGTCTCAATCAAGTCACCCCTCAGGCGACGGCGGTGCAATGAGAATAGGTCAAGGGTCGCCAGCCTTTCTTTGCTTGACTTTCCCTATAGTCTACTGATCATCCGGGTGGGCCTTCTTTGTACTGCCTCAAGCATATGCTTATCCCTTACTAAGGGAGGGGCCCAAGCCTGGACACAGTACTCCAGATTTGGTCGCACAAATGCCTCATACAGTGGCAAGAGTACTTTAGCCTCCCTCGATATTACCGTTCGGCCGAGTTGGAATAAGACTCCATTGGCCTTCGATGCGGCTGCCGCGCATTCCACTGAGGGTTAAAAGGATGAGTGTATATGCAACCCTAAATCCCTGACCACATCCGTAGATTCTATGACGTCCGTCGACCCAGCGCCTAGTTGACGCACCTCCACCGGTGCGAGGCGAGAAGCTGTGCGTCGCCATGTGCAAAACATTTTTAGGCTGGCAGGGTTGCCCCTCAACACCCCATACATCAAGTGCTACAGAGTTGGCCTGTGGAAAGGGGAAAGCTCACATGATTCAAGGTCTCTCCTAGTGGTGTTTACAAACACTAACATAAGAGATCTGCTACTATCACGAGCTTCAAGGATCGAGGATGTTACTCAGCCCCGATAGATCTATCGGGGTGATGCACCCAATTAGAAGGGGGAATAATGTAAGTGGTCACCAAACCAAAGACGTAGTTCTTTATGTACTAAGGACTGGAGAGCCTTTGAGCGGATCCACACTGAAGGTACCAAAGAATGTACCGTATGTAGGAAAGAGCCCACAAAAGAGGGTTAAAAAGGGCAATGCCTTGGTCCACAGGGTGAGGTCAAACCTGCCACGAACACAAGACAGAGCACCGCAACCAAAGAACTTAGTCGCAGCTACCAGTCCGGAGAAGGAAACCACGGTGAGCTGTGAGGAACCAGCCACATGGGCGACAATGGTAGCGAATCCCCAATAGCTGCTCAGTCCCCAGCTCTCCCATTACAACGGAGATTAAGTACTTCAAACGTGAAAGGAGATATACCAATGAGGGTAGAGGAGGCTTTTGGAATGACGATAAAAGTCATTTCCAGGGAGAAAAGTGGAATGACTTGGGAAGTAGAAGAAGCCAGGACCATATCCGTACCCCCCAAAAGAAGGGGTAACCCCTCGGGCATTACGCTCGAGGATCCTCCAGAAATGAGCTCCCGACCCAGCAGGCATGCGCAAGCAGACAGTCTCATTGTGGTACACCAATGCTTGCAGTGTACGGGATAAGTGGTGAGAGGTGCGACGGCGCACCCCAGGTATAGAAATAGTGGCCATAACTGAATCCTTGATGCGAAAGCACCATATCACCTCGCGGATGGATGACTACACGATTTATAGACAAGATAGGGTGAATGACAGGCAAGGGGGCGGGGTTATGATAATGATAAAATCAGAGCAAACGCAGCGGGAGGCAGTAGCAGCCCTAGCGACTCCCAACATACAAGCCATCAGTTGCGTGGTTAAAATAGACAGTAACGCATTAGCCGTCGTGTGCGTCTACCGGGCCCCGCAGGCGACTGCGACAGAAGATCAGGAATTGATTGCTCAGCTGCAATTATTCCTTGCCACG